TAGAAAATATATAAATATAATATATATATATATATATATATATATATATATATATAAATATATTATATTTGTATAAGAATTGTATAATAATATTAATTATTGTTTTAATTATTATATTTATTTCTGTAAAGAATTTTCAGCATTTTCAGCAGCTGTTACTCCAGTCTTCAGCGTCACATGATCCTTCAGAAGTCATTCTATGAATTCTTTGTATTTATTTCTGTAAAGGAAAAGCTGAATTTTCAGCAGCTGTTACTCCAGTCTTCAGCGTCACATGATCCTTCAGAAGTCATTCTATGCTTTTTTAGAATTCTTTGATGAATAGAAAGTTAAAAAGAACAGCACTTATTTGAAATAGAAATCTTTTGTAACATTATGCATGTCTTTGCTGTCTCTTGCTGAATAAAACAGGGCTTAAAGTTCTCCGGCACCGTGCCGGATCTCCGGCGTGCAGCATTTGGCTGCGGAAAAAAAAAACCCTACATTTAAAAAAAACTTGTTGATATGACTTTCGAGTCCATGAGTTCGCCTACCAGTGGTATGAGAGGAGCACAGCTTTCATTCTCAACCAAACTAACATTACTAGCCAATCATAATGTTTTGCTCTTATAAACACGAGACGCGCATAATAGTATCCGACTGCAGAGTCGCAGCCCTGATGAATGGAGAAGCGCGACAAAAAGCTGCAAGGCGCAATGGTCAAAGATGTCCATCTAGTGCATATTTACATAGAACAACTCATTAAAAAGCAGCGGAGCTTTGTAAACAGCTCAGCGTAACCACGTAATCTCCATAAGAACGATATGATCGCCAGAACAAATTTACTGGGATTTTTGAAAAGGTCCTGTTCACACATGATCTCTTAATGGTAACTTACCGGTAATTTACCAGTAAAGACTGTATGTGTGAAAGGGGCTGTATATGCTGTGAATTTGAATTGCTTAATGTTCAACGTTCATATTTCTAAATATGCCATTTATTGTACATCGCAATTTCAAAATAAAAGTTTCTGAGTGTGCATGTGGCCAAATATTAAAATTGAATGGATTTGAACATCGTTTAATCACGCTGTAAAGTGAAACGTCACCAGGCCGTTGGTGCCCTCTGCAGGTATTTGTTATAATACATAATGTACTTAAGTTGGTTATGTTCATATTATGTATAGGCACAGGGCCGGCGCGAACTCAACTGCCGCTCTAGGCAAAATCCTACCGTGCCGCCCCCACTTCACATTCATTCACCAGTCAGGTGACACGTACGCTCGACTCACTTCAAGGGTGCAATGACAAAGCTGGCATGGATCTCACTCCAGGTATGTGAGCCCACAGCACACTGCACTGCATGAATGTAAAGATCTTTGAAAAACTCAGTCAAAAGGATAGTTCACTAAACTAAACTAAACTAAACTAAACTAAACTAAAATAAAATAAAATAAAATAAAATGTATTTACTCACCCTAATGTTGTTCCAAATCTGTGAATGTGCACAGGCCGTTGTTTTCAATTAAATTTCATTGAATTAAGCTGTTAAGTAGTGGATTTTGATTCATCCCAGTAAATCGAGTCTTTTAAATCTTCACCAGTGATTTATTCAGATTCACTGAGTGACCATTTCTTAGATGGCACACACTAGTGTTCGAAAGTTTGGGGTTGGTAGGATTTATTATTATTATTATTATTTTTTATGTTTTTGAAAGAAGTCTCTTCTGCTCACCAAGTCTTTATTTGGTCAAAAATACAGTAAAAGCAGTAATATTGTAAAATATTATTATAATTTAAAATAAATAATTTCTATTTTAATATAGAAAATATATAAA